GGTGCATTCCTGTTTGCACTGGAAGAGGTTAAGTCTCTGGAACTTGAAAGACATTTCACTTGTCTGCTTCCTATGTCAACTCTAGGTTAATGCTTTACTTCCTCTATAAATTACTTCAGTACCTACAAAGAAAAAAGTCTTGTTGTTTTAGGGGCTGATAATGACAGTTGTTTGTTTCCAATTACAGGACATCATTACCTGCCCCAATGTTTTCTAGAAGTGATTTTAGTGTGTGGAGCATATTAAAAAAATGCATTGGACTGGTAAGTTAATGTGGATGAAATGTGCTGATATGAGGTGTCCTAACTCAACTGGTTAATTTTAGTGCTTAAACCTTAAGACACAGAATAATACCTGGTTCATTTTTTTTTTCTGTAGAGAACATAATCTTAAACTGCAACTCTAAATCTCAATATTCGTTTACTAACAGTACTATTTCCTTACCTCCGTTAGCTGTAGGAGCGTGTGGGTTGACATTTCTAATGCTGTCCTATAAGAACTAGTCTAAAGCTGTCAAAAATATAGTCAGATATGGTTTGATTAACACAATGCTCTCTTCTCTGCTTTTATTTTTTATTCTTTATTTAGCAAAATGTGATTTAGGGCTTTATTTTGTTGTGGTGTGGGATTTTTTGGGGGGTTCCCCCCTGCCTCCATTTTTGGCAGGTTGTGCCAAAAAAAATTGCTTTCATCTGATTGAAGGAATAGAAAAGCTTGGGATCTGTTAGAGTTTCTTAGAGAGCTCAGTGTAGGCTTGGGGTATTAATGGCATGATGCAACTGGGTCGCAAGATTTATTCTTGGACTCGGAGACACAGACTTTTACATTGCTCTGTGATGCTGAAGGACCCCGATGCTTGCATCATTGTTGGCCATCACTGCTGTTTTCTTTTATCCTTTAAGAATTCAGTTACATATTTGATTACTTCATTCTTACTAGGAATGAAAATGATGTTCTACACTGAGGGCCTTGCTGCCATAGCCACTGTTTGGAAGCATTAAGCAATTACATTCATGTCTAGTCTAAGTCTGCCCAATACAGTCCTTTGTGAATGCAACACACAAGTCAGTGAGCCTTTCTGCTAGCTTCATTTCTGTCATCTAGGAGATGCAGCTGTACTGTCAAAAATCCTTTTGTTTAGGATGAGTCACCTGTCTACTAGAATGCTTTTCTTGGACCGAATCAATTGAAGTCAGTTAAGGGTAACATTATTTTTTTCCTTACTGCCTGTGACAATGTGAGGAAAATGTTGCGTTAGCTTAATCTGGTGGCATTCTCCTTTCCGTTAAGCTTTAAGCACTTAAATCATGCTTTAGTGCTCAGTCATGAGTGCAACTTTTTGATTAAACAGCTGAATTTTCTTGGGTGTAGTAAAATACCTGGGGAATTGGAAATCTGTGTGAACTTCACATCTGTCTTGTATCCACATACTGAGAACTGAGAAACATTCTGACGCAAATAACGGTTGCTTAAATAAAGCCACTAAGATCTGTTAGAGCAATTCAAATCCTATTCTTTATGCAACTGTTCCTTTCAGAAAATAACTTATGGTTACTGCAGTAAAATAGTTAGATTTTATGCAAATAGGTATGTGAGGATTTCAAAGGAATGCGTGGTGCTTAAATGTCAGTAATGAGTTGGTTGGCACATTATTGCTGCTATTTGTGGAAATTGTAACCTCGTCTGGTTTGTGTAGGCCACAGAACAGAAGGTAACATTTTTCTTGAATTTGCTAGGTTAGCTGGATGAATTTTTGAAGTTGTATATTCTTTCAGATTGCTAGTAGGGTTCTGCAGCGCTTCTAGCCCCTTTCAGCTGTATCATTTAGAGGTCTGGCTATAGGCTTGCCAAATAACTTCTAAAGAATGCTATAAACACATAAATTTATTTTCAAAATCCTTGTTCTTGTCAGTTGTTAATGTAGTGTTGTGTCTAACAAATTAACTTACTCTTTTGTTACCTAGGAGCTGTCTAAGATTACGATGCCTATTGTCTTCAACGAGCCATTGAGTTTCCTTCAACGAATAACAGAATATATGGAACATATATACCTCATTAATAAGGCTTGTAGTCAAGCAGACCCCCTAGAAAGAATGGAGGTAGGTAACCCTTCTGGTTAGTTCGGAAGAAGTTTTTTCTCTCCCAGAGTCTTTCATTTGAAGACAGTTTCTCACTTGAGTGTATTTCTTTCTCTGGTGGGGCTGCCAGAAGAATGCCCATATTTTTCTGTCTAGACAAGTTTCTTGTTTCATAGTGGCTGTAGCAGATATTTGTGACACTTTAGTACTTGATGCTGTGCAAGAGTTTGAGCCAGAAGCCTAGTGCAGGAAAGTGCCTGTAACTGATGATGCCCAAGGACCTCAGCCCTTTTCAGGAGTGCTTTAACTGCAGCTCTTTTGTGGCTTTATGTGTTGTGAAGATGAAATCTTGGCTTTAAGTCAAACTAAATTGATTTGTTGAAAGTTACTGCATGAAAAATTGTTGTGACAGACGAGCTTTACCACTCTTCTCCAAAACTGGTGGTTGTTGGAAGTAGAATATACTACTTGGCTGGTCTCACAACAAGGAGCTGAATATGGTGAAACCAGGCCTGTGTACACTAGGCTGCATTGGTATTGCTCATAACTCTGTTTTTACTTAAGTGAAACTGGAATGTATATCTTGTATTCTGTGTCTGCGTAGTACATACCCCTACTTATCAGTCTGCAGGAGCTTCCAAGTGTCATTTGTGCCTGCAGGTGTGATTTCAGAAGTCTCATCAGTGTTACAAAGAATGCTTGCCTCATGCTAGGAAAAGCAAGACTGTTCCCAGTGGGGGACAATCAAAACAGGGGAAAAGTAGATTTAAAATAAGCGGGCTGTCTGCTTGAAGGTAGGTGGGGAAGCATGGGGCTGAGTGTAACCCGACACAACTTAATACAGAAAATAATTCCTTTTGGAAATGAGGTTCTTATATTCTGCTTATATTTCCCCACTTCTGTATCACTTATCCTGTGGCTTACAAATGTTTTCGCCGTAAGCAATATAGCGCTTTCTTTCTGGAAGAAGAATGATATACTGTAGTGTGCAACAAATATGTTAAGCTTGGAGTATTAATGTACTGTTCTCATAACAATGTGGTCTTAATTTGCTTGTAGGCTGTAGCTGCTTTTGCAGTTTCTGCTGTAGCTTCTCAGTGGGAGAGAACTGGCAAACCGTTTAACCCGCTGTTAGGAGAAACCTATGAATTAACCAGGTAATAATTCCTTTAAATTGGGAGCTAGGGCTATTTGTGTTCTTGAGTTAACAGACTCTTATACTAGTTTGGTTGTTTATTCAGTGAAATAAATAAAAAACTACTAAAACATATTTCTGAGTACAGCTAAAATTCTTCTCCCTAAACTATTGCAAAATCTTTGAGAAGTTGTTATAAAAGCTAATAACTTTATTTCTGTATTTAGGGAGAGTATACTTTGAATTATTCAGAGAAAAACTGGTCCATGTTCTTCCAACAAAGACATTTCCTGTCCAGACACTATTATTAATTTAAGTAGTGTTTTGCTGTTTGCGTCAGTTAGAGGAGTTAGTGTGAAGGACCTTCAGCTTGCTTAAATAAATAGGTGATATGTCTGCAGTGGAGGAAAGAATTTTCACTCAGACCTTCTCTGGCTGCCCAGAGAGTTTCAATATTTTTATGAGTTATTTCGGTGAAACTTCTTCAAATGCCTTTCTGGGTAGGAAGTCTTGTAGGTGTTTGAATGTGGGTTGGTTTTGGGTATAAAGAAAGCGTTCAAAGTACAAATTCTTTCATTTCATTAGTTGTAAATGTGTCATGAGACTAGAAAAGGAAGAGTCTCACCTTCAGTTTAATCTAAAAATCCTTCAATATTTTTTAAAGTATCAAGTAACTGTTTTTACTTGTAACATTAAAAAAATATTTACTGTTTAATGCTCTTTTTTGTTGTTGCTAGGGAGGATTTAGGATTTAGGTTTATATCTGAGCAAGTCAGCCACCACCCACCTATTAGTGCATTTTACTCTGAAGGCCTCAATAAGGTCTTTTTTTTTATAGAAGCGGAGCCTCGGGGAACAATTACTTTGGAGCTTCTGAAGTGAGTATGACAAGTAAATACCTTTTTTATGTTGCTCTCCTTAACATTTACTTGAATAAAAAGATAGGTGATAATCATCCCGTTGGCTCTTCATAGGTGATTATCTAAAAACCTCTTGCCGAAGAGGTTGTAAGTGTTTATTTACAAGTTAATTTTCACTGCTTAATTTCAGGGCTCTGTTTATTTTGATGTTATGCCATGCTTGCATAGCTGTAGCAATTTGACCCAGTTTTTCCACTATGAAAATTTGCATTTCTTAAAAAATGAATGCTACTGAAAGCTAGTTCTGTGAAGACATGTAAAATCTAAATTGAGAGATAAAATTCTATTACCGGGCTATTCAAGTTTGTCTTGCTTTTAAATATTGTTGTTGGTTTTGATTGTTTGTGTGCATATGTTTGTATGGAAAGAACTGCATCTTCAGAGTAGCTGTTCTGTGTGATGAGGGAAGGTGAGGTTGCTGTGTCCCCTGTTGAAACTTTCTGTGTTTGATCACCTTCCTATGAAAATCAGGAATGCCTCTCCAGCTCACTCCCAGGCTTGTCTCTGATTGCATGTCTCTCATAAATTACACGACTTTATGTGAGTTGGTTTGTGCCCTGGCCCAAAGACTCTTGAGCTCTCCCAGGTAAGACACAAGGATGCACTAGATAATAGTTGCAGAATAAGTATTCTGCAATTGAGCACTTAACGGTGCTTTTATAAAAGCTTTCCTCAGGCCTAACTCAGAGGTTGTTTTGAAATGTCGTAGGAAATTTCTAGGCATTTGGTGTCAATAAAGAGCCGGCTTGCCTGCCATATCAAGCATTGACTTTTTCTGTAGTTTCTTTTGAAAGTATAATTTAATTTTTGAGCTGCTGGCATCTAGTCTTCCAGAGCTTATAGAAGTATGAACTAGTCTTGGATGGTGATGGAAATAGAGGAAATTCCTTCTGAATGTAGAAGGAACTATGAATGTTAGTGTAGAATGCAGACGTGACAAAAATAAAGTTTGTTGCTTGAGAGAGCCTTTATTTAGAAGACTATTAAAATTCTTGCTCTGCCTAATCAAGTTACAGGGCACGGATTTAAACTGGAATGTAAATGATTAAAGCATTTATTTTAAATAATTATTTTGAGTTAGCAGCAGAGGTTGAAATCAAATTTTGAGCCTCTTGGTGTTGCGATTCATACAATTCTGTTGATTTGAGTAGTCTGAGAACTGCTCAGGGCCTGAGTGAAGAAGTAACTATTCTGGAAGCAAAATTGCAAGCCCACATGAAGTACTGCATTTATGTTAACCATCAATGTGTTTTCAAACCATGCATTAGCAAACACACTTCTTCCTCACTTCTCCAGCACAAATAAGTGTTTCAATTATCAGCACTGGCCATGAGTGTCTTGTGTTTTGTTTTATGCTATATAGCTTTTGGTGTCAAGTAGTTCATGAATCAAAATGTGTGCTGAGGCTAGTGGGATGAATGTGGGGGGTTCTGGTATTTTTTACTTACTTGAAGAGTAGTCATTGTTCTAAAGTATGCTTGAAGAAAATTTGCTGTGGAAAGTCAGACTTCAGTGATCTGTATTTTCTCTGTACTGGAGAATGACAGACTGGTTGGAAACATTAGATGGGAGTGTTCTGTCCGTGTTTCCTGGAAGTAGAAGTACAAGGCATTTGCTACAATGAGGATGCTGCTTGTTTCTGGTTTTGGGTTTTGTGGGGGTTTGTTTTAGGTGTGGGGGTTTTTGTTTTTTTTTTTTTTTGTATTGAAATAGAGTTTGCAAGCTTTTAACTTCAGCATTTCTTTTACTGCCATGGAAAGAGGAGGGAGAGTAGACGGCTTTGGCTCTGCTGAGCTGTTATAATAGGAATCCTGTTGTTTAACATTTTGACCGCTTTCAGAATAATGCCTTTTAATGATTTAGAATCTGTTAACTGATCTTTGTAAAGCATTTCATAGAACGTTAAAACCAAAATGAAACGAAGTGGAAAATGCTTCAGTTCTAGGACTTTCCCTTCTTCTCAGTAAAACTTTGGGAAAAGGATGGAATTGAATTATAAATTGGATTTTTAGATGTCATGTTTATGAAGCTTGAATATAGTGCTGTCATGCCCCACTGGTGTTAAAACCCGCCAAAAAAACCCCACCACCCTCTCTCCCCCTCCTCCCCCCCAGCTGCCTTCAGTGACACTGGAGCAGGCCACGTCTGCCGATGTGGAAACTTGTGGTGTATTTGTGGGAACAGGCAGTTTTGCTGACTCATGTCGCTCTGTTCAGGTCTAAAAGCATTTACCACTCACATGTTTGTAAAAGAAAAAAAAAAAAATTAAGTGGGTTACTGTGACCAGCCCTCGAGGAGGAGTGGCTTCACATCAAATGTTTATCAGAACGGGTAGTGACTAACCTCTCTGCTAGAGGACTCAAACATTTATGTTCAGTGGTTTTTTATCACAAAAAGTTGCTCTCTAGATCATGGTAGAGGTTTACAAGGAAGAGCTCTAGGAAAAAGTTTGCAGTGCTGCTGCAGTAGTTGAACAGGAGCCAGTGTTAGGCGTTAGTTTGTAGTCTGATTCTCCTGCAAGTATTACGTTTTATCACATAAAACTTTAAAAGTGCAAATGAAAAAGATGAATTCTCGGACTGTTGTTTATATTGAGCTGGAATTTGTAATCAAAAGCACAGCAACTGTAAAACTTGCCATTTCAGCTCTGAGAGAAGGAAGAAAAATAAAGGGGATATCACTTGATTAACTTGCACTAATGTTTAGATACAGCACATTTTTAGCTTGTAAAGAAAAGTCTGTTTCGTTTCTGTTTTGAGGTTAACTGCTGGCTGTTGGTAGGAGTGCTAAATATTTTGCCGTGCCATGAACAGAATTGAAAACAGGCTTACGTTCTATCTCAGACTCAAGAAAATGATGTATTTCTCTCTTTTCTTTACAGACATAATGAAGCTTACACATGGACAAATCCGACCTGTTGTGTACATAATGTAATTATTGGTAAACTGTGGTTAGAACAATACGGAACAGTAGAAATCGTAAATCACAGGTAATGCTAATCATGAAACCGCGGGTTAGCTTGTAGGGACTGGTGTGTGGTCACTTCTGTTACAAGGCAGATAGTCTTGATTTTTGTCAGATACACAGGAAGCTTTTTTTTTTTTTAAGTCCAAAGTATTGTATTTTTTTTTCTTTTTCTTTTCTTTTTTTCCTTCCTTCTGACAGATGCAAATTATTTGTTGGACTGGGCTTAGTATCATAATAATATTAAGGAAAGGGCACAAGGCAAGATGGCTGACTGGTTATAAAGATTTTACATTTGTGAGTTACCCATTCAATTGTGGTCCTGTTGGCAGAGAACAGAAACTAACTCCAGAACCATTAAATAGAATAATCGTCGGAGGCTTGCAGTGGACCTCCATCATGTTGATTGTGATTAGGCACTCTTTATAGTTTTGGTAATAGAGAATATCTTAAATTAGGGGTACAGCACTGCAGAGTGGGGTAATGTGAACTCAGAGCATGTCAATTGCTCTGCCAACCGCCTATATAAAAGCATTTTACATTATATAAAATAACTGACCTCTTGTGACTACGAGGTAGAGAATTTTGTGAAAACTGTGTTACTTCTGCATGTTTTTCTGTCAAGAAATGGGAGCTTTAATCCAGCAGGGATGCTGTTTTGGTACTTCTTGTAGCATCTGATCTGCAATCCTGTCTCCTGTATTTGCGCAAAAGACCCAGGGTGGTCTCTGTATGCTTTGTGCTTGACATAGAAACTTGTCCTGTACCTCACTGGGAGAGGTTATTTACGTATGTGTACATTTCAATGCAAGGAAGATGCTGAAATATAATGCTGGTTTATGTTTGTAAAACATTGAGTTTGGAATTTTTGATACGCAATTTAGAAGTAACTTTTGAATGCACTTAACTGGATCATCCTGCATAGGTCATTTGTAAAAGTTATTTCTCATTACAATTAGTTGTAAATAGATATTAATCTGAAATGCAATGGAAATAGTGTGGGTTAAGTAGTGTGCAAGACTGCATTCCATTTTATTTCTAGCACTTTTGATAAATTTTAGATATATATGAAACTCGGAAGTATGGTCATGTTTTCAGTTGGTTTTCACAGGCTGATGTCTTCCTGTGCACATTGATTTCTTTTTTGTCCTTTTTGTGGAATTTTGAAATTTGTGTGCCATTGTTAATGCCCTCGTCAGATAATAAACCATAGTTAGAGAAATAATGATATAACAAACTACCTCCGAGCTAACTGTATCTATATGAAAAAAGCAAAATAAAAAAATAAACTTACTAATGTATTTAGGGGCTTGCTTCTTTAATAATGTACTTATTTCATCTACAGTACTGGAGATAAATGTGTCCTTAATTTTAAACCGTGTGGACTGTTTGGGAAAGAGCTTCACAGAGTAGAGGGATACATTCAGGACAAAAGGTAAGTGATGAAAGCCTCTTGGCCTCTCCGTTTCTGTGCATTGTGGCATTTCTTTTGCTGGCATAGTGACCACAACTGATGTGACTGCAAAGCTGCTAGCAATGTAGATTGTAACCCATTTCTGTTCTCTGTGTCCATATTAAACCCCTTGATTCTAGGATAATAATTTTAAAGCATTATTAGAAAAACTCTCCAGGCCAGTCTTTGGAAATCAAGGTAGCCAGGGAAAACTCAGAGTTGTCGCAACTGATTTCACTGTTGTACAGTCACAATTCCAGTCTTCAGTTTAAAACAATGCGAATATGGTTATTAGAATTTTTTGATCAAACCCAAACCTGTTTTGTGACTCTGAGTCTCTGTATTGTAAACTGCTGGCTTTATTGCACCCACAGTCATTTTAACAGTGGCAAAAGCATGTGACTCAGTCATGAGGATGTGTTCTGCGGGACTGAATGCCAGAAAGACTGGAATAAGCTGAAACCTTTTCTTTGCATTATCAGATATCTGGCTTCTAAGAAATCTGCAAAGAAACATAAAATACTACAAAGTAGGAAGCTGGGTATTTAATATAGATCAGAATCTGCATGAGTTGGCTTAGAATAAGGCTTTGTAAGGTGTAAAAGCGAAGTCTGCTTTGCTTTCTCTGCAGCAGAAAGAAGCTGTGCGTCATCTATGGCAAGTGGACGGAATGCTTGTGGTGCACTGATCCCACTACGTATGAGACTTACAAAAAGAATGAAAAGAGAGGTGGTGAGCAGAAGAAATCGAAGCCGGTAAGATTAAGGATTCTTAGGGAGGAACGATACTGAAATATGAGAAATGAAAGGAAAATATCTTCTTTATGGAAATGGTCAGGTGGTGGTGAATGGAGGGTTAAAACAGCCTGTCTTTCAGTAGGAGTTGCATGCTAGCAGGGTTGGTCCCATGAGAGGGCATTGCACGTGGAACTTGTGTAGCCTTCAGTGTGAGCTGCTGGTACTGAAGAGAGCTCATAGGAGTGGTGTTTGTTAGAGATTTGTCAAAGAGAAGTCATCAAATATCAGCCCCCAAGCTGATGTTGTCCAGTCCTGGAATGAGGAAAGTGGCTGTACTGCCAACTCCAGATATGAAAATACTAGGATTTAGGAATTTTTTTTTTTTTAGAAAAAGGTACATGTTTGGGTGGTTTTTTTTTTTTAGAAAAAGGTACATGTTTTTTAAGTCAGTTATGCTTTTTGGTGATGCAGTCTTTCAGAATTTATGATTTAGACAGCCTTGACAACAAAGGGGTCTGGAAACATGCAGGGTTTTTTCATCACATGCGAGCAGTGTCAGGTAAGTTACCCCCAACGCCTCAAAAACATTTATATGGAAAATGCAAAATGTTGTATGGTGCAGCAGAGGACTGTTGGGTTTCCTGATATGAACAGGGTCTTGCAGGCGCTGGTTGCTCACTGAAAATGAAAATGGTAAGTTAAACAGAAGCTAATCACTCTTAATGTTGAGGCTCAAACTTTTACTAAAAACTATTCGCATCAGAATAATCTAGAGCAACAACAGGCCTTGCTTTTGGCTCTGGATTCTGTCATGGTGCAGGCTTGTATTTTGACTTTTTTTTTTTTTTTTTTTATTAAAAGGTTTTTTTTCCTTCCCACTGCATCTATGTTTAGATTGGGAGCTATCTAACAGTAAACCAGATGTTGACATGGAAAATAGCCTGAAAGAGTCTTTTTAAATAATGAATACTCAAACCAAATGATTGAAATTAGACTCTGAACCATATGGAGCTGTTTTCTAGTGTATAAAACAGGCCATGTTTAACTTAATAGGGTATTTTTGAATAAAATAAATGAGCCATGTCAGAGGGGACAGAGAAAGAAAGTAGAAAGGGGGCAGGAGTGAGGGGAGGGAGAAAAACTGTGATACTGTCACTCTCAGATGTTATTGTCTCAAACTTCCCTTCTGGTTGTTGCGGTTTTAAATGGTCACTCACGGTGAAATCCTCTGAAATTCCACAGCGTAGCTGTCTGTGTCCTACAACAGTCAGATTCTCTCAGATTCTGAGAGCAGCCTCTTGAAGATTACTGCAGTTGATTTTTGTATATGCCTTATAACAATGCATCTGGTAACAAAGGAGCGTGGAAGGAAAGATGCTGTGCTTATCAACTTAAGTACACAGTCTTCGTAGTGAGAAAATTGGCAGCGATAATAGTTATTAGAATCTACATCATAGGAAATCAGACTGAAACAAGGGCATATCCGTTTTTTAATCGCACATCCAAATCTTCTGCAAATGATGAAGCAATATCCAAAGCAGGCATGCGCTATTTATCTTAGGCCATTAGGGGAACTGGTTTAAATTGCAGTCTTGGCTCATTTCCACCTGAAGAAGTAATAGTCATGTTCAGTGAAATTAAGCTGTGGCATGGGATAAAAGGGAAGCTAGAGACATGACTTCTGAAAGACATTAATTTACTATTATTAATTTTTTTTTAAACAGACTTTCGAGTTGTACACAGGTGGTGGGAGACTATTCAGAGTTATCAGGAGGAAAACATTACGATACAAATGAGAGGAACAGTATACAGAGTGAGGAAAAGCAATCACGGGGCGTGAGGCAGAAGTACAGGAGAGCGTTTAGTATCTCAAATTTGAACAGATTCTTCAACAATCACTGTAGAACTCTAGATGAAACTGTCCAATTTCCCTTTGTTCCCCTGCCAAATGTTATCTCTCTTTCAGAGCGAAGATGTTATTAAATCCGAAAATGATGAGGCTGATGATATGCCAGAGGTTCAAGACACAGTGCAGTTCATACCGGGCAGTAAATTGCTTTGGAGAATAAATTCTAGACCACCAAACTCATCACAGGTAACTGTTTCAATCAGTTGGAGTATTGCTATTGCTAGTGACTTATCCAGGGGAACATGAGTGATATTCAAGGGAAACCTTGTTGAAGTGTCTGTCCTCGGCATGCGTATTGACAGGCTCTGGCAGTTCTTGCTGCAGCAGTAAATTATACTGCAGCAAGCTCTGTGCTTCGTTCCTGGGCTGAAAGCATCGCTGCTGTGTCGAAGTTGGTAGGAAGAGTGCATGCTCTGACTGCAGCTGCTTCGGTGTGAGTCTGGTGTCTTAGGTTAACCTGTCTGTGAGATCTTTGCGCTTGGAATGGCTAAAAGTGAATACACGTTCCCTTCTGCTGACCCTGCTGCTGGAAGACAGGCTTCCAAAAAAATGTGGTAACTGGGCAGCTGGTTATTGACTTCAGTAGTGTCAGTGAGACTTTTTGGTCTTGAAGGTGTGGGTGGTTTTTTCATAAAAATCATTATGATAAATACCAGATACAGAGGAAAATCTGTCTTCATCCTCTAAGCAAAGACTGCTTGAAAAAAGAAAGTTGTGATTTCCATCTACTTCTGCCCTTCCTTGTCCGTCCCCTCCAACAAACCCCCTGGTTTTGTATGAACCTAACCTTGCTTTCAGGGTAGCCAGCAGGAGAAGGTTTGACTCAATAGTTTCTCCTGGAAGTTCTGTTGTATCCATTTGGTATGGGTAACCCAGTGCTGCTTTGCTGCAGTAACTTACATGTTATCTTTAATTTGCTTTTAAGATGTACAATTTCACCAGTTTTGCTGTGAGTCTCAACGAGCTAGAAAAGGGCATGGAAGCAATATTAGCTCCCACTGACTGTCGGCTACGTCCAGATATCAGAAATATGGAAAATGGAAACATGGGTATGTGTTTGCTGGCGGAAATATTTTCACATTAATAAGTTTTGAGAGGGTTGACTTGAAGGGAGGATGGTTGATACAGGAACGCTGTCTTCAGTTTCTCATTCCCAGAGCAGCCGTAACTCTTTTTCTTCTGGTGTCAATGAACATGCGTTTCAACAATGTGTGATGTCTGTTTTCTCCCGGAAAAGTCTGGGAGAGCAAATGTCTCCGAGGTGGATCCCAAGACTGCTGTCCTATGTTATGGTGTGTGTGTTTGTTAACTCGGGGGGAACTGGCAGGCACGCTCCCTTGCTCTGGAGTTTGTCTGGAAAGACATGTGGTGAACAGACATGCTCTGTTGCTCTGGTGTTTGTCAGAAAAAACACATGGGCCAAACAGTGAAAAAAACACTCTCATACCTAATCTAAGCTCTTTCCTGCTGTCTCCGTGCAGTGTTTCTGGTAGATAAAGCACCAGAATTTCAGTTTCGACTCTGTGTTTGTAGTAGCAACTACTCAGAAATGACAGTTTTAATTTTTTGTTGCCTGAGATTTTCCTTGTTCAGTGAGATTGTGCACAGCAAATGCTTTCTCTTCCTTAGATAATATTTCACTGCTCTGCAGTCTTTTCTGTGTTTTCTGCATTTTTGTTTCTATTTTGTTAAGTAACCCAATTCTCTTGATATGTTTGTTAGATGTGGCTAGTAAAGAAAAAGAGAGACTAGAAGAGAAACAAAGAGCTGCTCGCAAGGAGCGTGCAAAAGATGAAGTGGAGTGGCACACACGGTAAGGGGGAAGGAGGCTGGGCATCTGTTTAATGCTTGGAATGGTTTGCTATACTGCTGGAAATGTTTTTATTCAAGGCAGCGTGTGTTTGATTTCCTGCCTGACAGCACAATTTGTAGTGTCACTTAAAGCATTTGCTGGGCCAACGATCAAATAAAGTAGCTGGAAGGCAAAATTGCTGAAAACTTTGTCCTGGAGAAATTATCTAATAATAAATGCTGAAACCTGTCAGAATTAACTACTGTGGTAATGCTGGATTTTGGGGGGGTTGTTTTTTAAAACCTACAGAGGTCATTTGTTTGTTAGGATGAATAAAAGGTTAAGTCTCATCTCTCCTTTAACCAATTCCTGTCCAGCTTTTTTTTTGGCAGTTGAGCAAGAACGTTGTGGCCCTCTAGGGCCATTTATTTTCACATTCTTAGGACTTCTTGGCTTGGATACTTCAGAAATTTATTTTTTTGGTTGCATATTCAAGTGACTTCTCAGTCGTAGAGTGCATCATGGAGTAACGTGTGATTTGGCTCCTGCTCCTGCTGGTTGCTTTTCACAGACGCCAATGCTGTGCAGTCAAGGGTACGCTCACGGCCAGTTACTGCAGGTGCTTCCTTCAAAGGCAAGAACTTTGGGATGCTCCCGTGATTTCATGAAATTCAGAAGAGGAAGCATTTGCTTCCTAAAGCCTGGAGGAGCAGCTACAGAATAATTCCAGTTAATGCCTTTGAAAATCTCTTCCAGAGAACATAAAATTGTTTTCAGTCCATGTGGCTAAAATGTGAGCATCTGTTAATGTTCTGTGTAAAGTACAGCCCCAGATGAGAAAACTTTCCTGTTTGGACACAAAAAGGATTGTGTAACTGATTTGGCATTCTTCTGAAGTAAAAATTAATATCTATATAATCAACATATAATCTAGAGTATTAATGTTATTTTTATTTGGAATAGGACAGCAATTTAAAAATCCATTTCATACTCCTTTGTGACTTTATGTAAAAAAAAATTATAAAAAGGATGATTTACAAGGTGGTGATAATTGTGTAGGAAGTTTCATGCCTTATTTTTCATGTTCAGACTATTTCCTGAGAATTTTTTTTCTGATAAGAAATACCAGTGTGTTTTTACAATGTTTTTTGTGAAAGAAGCAAAGTTGTTTTTTCTCCCTATTAATAACTGTTCGCTTTGTTTGCTTTTTTCTTTTGTTTCTTTCTTTTTTTTTCTTTTTTTTTCTTTTTTTTTCTTTTTTTTTTCACAGATGGTTTCATCAAGGCACTAACCCGTACACTGGGACTTCAGATTGGCTGTACTCAGGTGGCTATTTTGATAGAGATTTCTCAGACTGTCCAGACATATACTGAAATTACGGAACCCACTGCTCATCTCATCTGGACATCTAGTTACTAGATTTCATTCCAAGCCAGTTACTCTGGTTTTGTTTATAGCAAGAACCAGCTTTTCTAAGTAAATATTAAAAAAATTCTATCAGTCAACAATCAAGGATTTAATTATCACTAACGTTGGATTGCCAAATATTTAAATACCGTTCCGTTCTTTCCATAAAGCTGCACCTGAAATCATCACGTCTTCACTAATTGTCAAAGGGACCTTTGGTTCTCCATTTTTTTCCCTAGTTTCTTTGTCAGGAAGATATACGCTGTATCCGGTAGAGCACATAACATCCTTGAAAACTACGTAACTTAAAATAGAGATAATATCCTTGTTACTTAGTACAATAGTGAAGAATCTGAAGTTTTTGGAACTCTGAGCAGGGATGAAAAGCTAATATGGTACCGACAGGATCAAATCTTGTACTGTTGATACTCCCCGGGAAGAGATGCATGTGAACCTTCCACACGGTATGTAGCACTACGTGGGGGCCGGAGCTCCTGGCCCCTCTCTCTCTCAATACGATTCAATAATTCAGAGACTTGGGGAAACAAAAACCAGCCTGAGCTTCTCAAACTGTAGTTGTCTGTTACAGCATCTTTGCAACTTTTGGACACTGTGAGCATTAAACTGTATACCTGTGATAAAATTACCTAAAGCATACGTTAGGAGAAGGGAAGGGTGCATTTAAAAATGTGCTTTTTCTGAAGTCAAATGCTGTTCTTAAAAATACGAGAAGTTTCAGAAGCAATTGTAGGAATGTAGAGGTGGTTACAATGTAAAATATATTGCTTGCTCCCACTTGGAGGCTTCAATCTTCTGCACTACCTTTGGCAGCTTTGGCACTATGTATGCTTCTAGACGAAACTTTTCTTTGGAAGCACTTTGGTATGTATATCCACACCGGTTCATATTTTGGGGAAGTTTTGGTTTGCATGTTTTTCATTATTAGGCCATGTCTGTTTTGAATGTCGTGAAAAAGCAGAATCAATTTAAAGCTTTGGCAGAGTTATACCTATTACAAGTCTTCTGTGAGCATGTGATGTCAAAAAGTGGGATTTTTTTTTTTGTTCCATATCAAGCCATCGAAGCCATGTAATACCAGAAATAATCAATTACTGAACTGACACATTAATTTTCTTTTGAGTGGTACAGTTGGGGTGGTAAGGGGGGAGAGAGGCTTGAAAAATTAATTCCAGTAATTAAAACTAATCCCGATGTTGCTGCTGCTTTTATGAATTGAGTAAGCAGGCAAAAATGGAGAGTGGCTGGGCTGCTGTTTAATTTACAGGGACTGAGAAATTGCTGGCGTTAAGCACCAGCAACTTGAGGAGTTCGTGGAAGAACTGGTCTGCTTGATGTCCAAAACATCGTGGCTTCATCCAGAGAGTAGGTTTTCTCCCAGCCACAGGATTAAAAAGCAAAAGAAAATTAAGGTACTCATGGAGAAACATTTTTTATATCAAATCATGCATCTAGTGATTGGATTAGCTTTGAATTTTGGGGAGATTTAGTTGTCTTAACTGGAAAAATGAGAAGCTGTGAAACTTCAAGGCAGTAAGGGCGGGCCTAATCTGAAACGTGCTCGGGGCAGCTTTATTCTGTTGCCAGAAATCATACTTTGTGCTGGTGGCAAGTCTCGAGGACTCACAAGCCAGACTTGGTCACATGGTGCAGGCAGCGCAGTTGTAGTTGTTCCTAGTAAGTGCATAGACACTTGACTTTTTAAAAGACATTGTTGATCCATATGGGACAGCATAGAAATACTTTTATAAAAAAATTGAACTTTAATGACCGTGCCAGGCACTGTAACCCCCTTTCTACACTGGTTGCGAGCAGCGTAGGGAACCCTTTGTCAGGTGAGGATTGAAAGGATTCACGTATTAAGCCCATTTTAACATCTCATGGGAGTTTAAAACTTGCTTAAACTAAATAGGATGTTTAATGCTGGAGTAGTGTTTTTAAAACAATAGATATAAATAGAAATTGCCGGAATGGAAAAACTGTAGAGTAATTGCTAAAGAAATACTCTGTTTATGAGAAGTGTACAGATTAGCATCCCTGTCATCGAAGTTGAGATTTAAATTCAGAGACCTAAACCCTTTTCATTATGTGAAAGCATGAAAAACTTTTAACAACGTGTTTAATCCAAACTTCAGTGTAGAATCTTCGCGGGGTTTAAAAAGAAACTGAGAAGATTTCTAAAGCAAGAACACTTCACTGGTTATGTCTTTACCCCCTTCTCCCCTTCCATGAATGTAAAGTTTTCAGTAAAATTTCAGATTTTTTCCAAATCTGTTTTTTTTTTTTTTAATTTATTTTTCTTCATTGACAACACTTACCCAGTGCTTTCCCCTGACTCGCTGCCGCCACACCTACGCTTGGCCTAGCCATGGGGCTCGTAACGCCGCATCTTGGTTGCTCTGAAAGTGAAGAAGTCTTTTCGATGCAGATCTCGCCTCAGTAGTTTATGTGTCAAAACATTAATAACTTTGCACCTTTTGAAAGAATGTCACTTTTATAACTTGATTAAACACTGTATATAAGATAACTGTGTTAGTTTATGTTAATACAGCTATGTAGAGAAACCGTCTAGAGAGAAATTATAATAAATACCTGAGAGCCTTCGGGCCCCTCTTGGTGACACAGATTTTTGTCAGTGAGACTCTGGAACGCGGGCTGCTGGGGCTGGAGGCGACCCTGCCTTGGTTCAGCCAGCTCCGGGGCTCTGCTGCTGGTTATCGCCGTGATGGTGCTTATTAGAGATGAAGACAATTCAGACCGGAGCTGTGACCCCCCAGCCCCACCACCGCGGCGTTTTCCCAGCCGTGGGTG